CACACACACACACACACACACACACACACACACACACAGAGACCACCTGGTGTACATTCACAGCCCCCTGGTTGTATCCTTGCCATAACAGATTGCAAAATGCCACAATCAGACTGTGAGTTGAGAGGTACAGAACTCTGTGAGTGACAGGTGTTTGAATTCTGGGGAAATCTGCTTTTCACTGTTTTCACTGTGCATGCAGATTCAGCACAGGTCTACTGATCACTCAATATTCTCAGAATCCAACACAAAGTTTCGTACCTCTGGGCGTTACTGTTTACGGGAATCCTCCAGCCTTTGATCTGACTGAGTTCAGTATCTGAAACTTCGATGTGCAGAGGCAGTTTGGGAATCCAGACCTTCACCTCCAGCTGGGCCCTCAGGTAACCGTATGTGAAGTTCAGCAGCATTTGGACCCGTCCTCTCATCTCCTTGCCATTCACGTAGACGTAATCACACCTGTCTGATACCTGAGAGCAGAAAAAAAGGATGTCAGTGATGGAGAAGTGATAAAAGAACAATGGATTAATCTTCCCAGGACACAACTTCACATTACCAAAATCAATACAATGCATCTGAGCAAAAGACAAGGTATATTTGAAATGGATTGCCAGTGAAGTCTGATGTTATTGGAAAATATTTTATTTTGAAAAGTCAGCCTTGACTCTCGGTCAAAAGTTAGTGTTCTGGTATAAGTATTTTCTTGAGTTATGATTTAAAACAAAGAATTGACCACAACATTCACCTACACAGATTTAGGTCACGATTAAGTATCCCACGTCTTAACATTTCTGGGGTGTATTTTTATCTTGGCTCCCACAATCTCTCGACAGAGTGGTTCACTGAAAAGTTGTTCTCATCTCTTTCAGTTGCTCTATTGGTTTCTACCTAAAGCTAAAAGCAGTACTGGCTCTATCACATTTAACAGAGTACTACAGATGCCCAAGACAAAAACAGCACCTGTTATCTTAAGGTAAAAACTGAATGTATAACTCTCTCTGTGTGTGTGTGTGTGTGTGTGTGTGCACTAGATCTGTTATCACTTGAAAATGTTCTCAGTTCAACTAAAATGATTCATAAATGAAATGGGTATTTATTTATATTCTAAAAATGTCAAACATTTTCAGGGTTTGGGGTTGATCTATAGTATAGTGTTTTTAAAGGTCTATGATATGTCAATTTAGACTGTAAATGTGAACAGGTGATAAGCAGTACAAAGGCGAGGAGAAAGAGAGAAACTTTTTTAAATATTTACGGTGCGACCCCGTAAGTTTAGCTTGTGTAAATCTGTCAATGTAAAACTTATGAGTTCAACACCTCACTGTATCTCCACTGACACCTCTGCAACCGTCTGTCATATTCACAGGGTGATCAAAGACTACCAGTATGTAAAATCTCTGGAGTGACTCCCATCAGTGCAGAATTATGACGAATGACAATCTAGAGTGACGAAATAGTCGCATGAATTCTGATATGACTATTCAGATTGAGGTCGCATTGCAAAACATCTGGCCTGAATCAGATTTAGGACCACATATGGAAGTGGCCCAAATAAGAATCAAAAAGATCAGATTCCATGTGGTTTGTGCTGTTCACACTGTCATGAAAAAAAAATCACATATGTGCAAAAAAAAGATTAAAAAAGTACAAAAAAAAAATCAGATTAGAGCCACATTTTGCTGCAGTGTGAATGTAGCCTAAATGTCTTTATGAAAATCTAAAAATATAGAAATATTTACACCACACTACCATAAGTTGCTCACCAAGCCTGCATTTATTTGATCAAAAATACAGTAAAAAGTTTAATATTTTAAAATATGATTTTGATTCAATATAATTCTTGTCTATTGTAATATATTTTAAAATGTAATTCATTCCTGTGATGAAAAGCAAAATTTTCAGCAGCCATTACATCAGTCACATGATCCTTCAGAAATCATTCTTACATGCTGATTTGCTGCACAAGTTTTTTGATTCATTTTGTTTCAGGATTATTTGATGGAAACAAAATTCAAAATAACATTAATTCGAAATAGAAATATTTTAAAACATTATATATGTCTGTTATTTCACTTTTGATCAATATGTCCTTGCTCAATAAAAGTATGCATATCTATCAATAAATAAATAAATAAATACTGTATATCTGTCTGCCCCGTCATGACAGAAAAACAAATGTTTACGTGTTAGTGTCAACAGCTGAGCCAGGGCCCACAAGTCGCCTTTCTTTTCCAGATGGCTGCTGGAAAAATGGGCAGCAGTTTGGTTAATAATGATGAGTAAATACAACAGCCCATCATAAGACACACACTCACAGAGAAGACAGAAGGGTGGCCTCATCCTCTTGTCGAGGAGTTATGAGGCCGCATTCCAAAACCATCCGTTTCATAAACGTTGGCGAAATTACTTGGCTCAGTGTTCCCTTCTGATGCCGGCCTCAAATCACTATGACTGGCTCGGTTGGACTTTGATTCCTTTAACCAGGATCTGACAGGGATGGAAACTACAGAAGCAACACACACCATCAAAGTGTGGCCAGCAGCAGAAAGATAAAAGCATGCAAGCACACACATACTCATACACACACTGACACATGGCTGCAAACCCAAATTTTGTGCATAACCCTTTCATATTAATAGAGCTCCTGAGCTCTTTTTTATTTGTCAGAAACATTTATGTTCCCATTTTTTTCTCTCATAAGAATATTAAGTCTCAATCTGTCAGGGTTTGAGAACTGCACAATCATTTCATGCTCCCCGAAGAGTAATTAGAAGATCCAGATCTCGGCAATCTATGTTAAAATGCTAGTTGGCACTTTCCATGTTTACAGTACACTGACTTTTTTTTTTAAAGCATTAGAGGCACAAATCCCACAATATTCCCATGTTAGAAAAAAATGGATACAATTTTACATGAAATTGTGACACTCAAGATAAAATATATTTGGAGCTTTAAATAAATAATCTAAAACTTTATTTTATTTTTTTAGCCGTTTTGATGGCATTCATCAGTTGTAGAGAGATTTTAATTAGTTTAATGCAACAGAATCAGACAAATAATTGATTTAAACTCTATAAATGTTGGTAACAGAGTTAAACATCTAATTTAAATGATAATATTTAGTTTTACCTCCTGTGCATTCAATACCTTCTGAAAGTTAAGTACCTCTTTTTACTCCCCATTTGTTAAAAACTACCAATTTTAAGCCTGTTTTGTGCTCTATTCATGGAAAGTAGCAGTTCACAAGCAGATGAGACTACTGAATAATGTCATTATACAGTAAGTACTAAAAAATTCAAAAGTCATATTCCTGGCTGTGGCTGAACATTACACAAACTCCCAGAGCTGAGTGAGACATCTAATCCAGCATCAGGGCATCATGGTGTGTTGCTTTCCACACTTAAGTGTTGTTAGAGCCGTGAGAGTTTGCTTCATGCTTGTCTGATTGATAGAATTGTCTGCTGTCAGAGTTTCCTCTTGCTCTGGTTCCAAAGCATTATCTCTGTTACTTCAACAAAATCTGAGCGTGAAGATGCTTAGACAGTTTTCTAGGGCTGCCAAAGTTAAACTGTTGACATGATGAATTAATAGATTTAACACAGTTATGTTCAACACAGTGATCCCAAAAACTATTTGGACACTTCAGCCACACTGAAAAAAAAATCACACTAGAAGACAAAAATATAACATTTCTTTGCCATTTTTGTAATTATTTTTAATAGCAATTAAGTGCAGCTTTTGTGAATGAAATCCACATTTACAAGTCCAGATACATTGGAACCACTGTAATAACTCAATAACATAATGAGGGTCTCATTTGTCAGTAAATGATGGAGAAACAACTTATTAACTAATAACTTGTTCATAAACCAAATCCAAAGGGGACAAATGTCATTAGTAATATTTGTATGGTGGACATTCAATTTCATAAACTTTAATAAGTATAAAAATACTCTTGACTGAAACATGCAATCAATGGTGGAAAGGTTAATAATAAATCCACTAGAGAGCTGCAGGAATATCAATAAAACAAGCTGATGCATATTATTTGGACTTATTTCTTTAAAATAGATAAACAATAAATATATATGCAAGCTTTATACATGCACAGTACAAATCGCTGAGCACCTGAGTTCTGAGTGGAACCTGTCCTGTTAAACCGCTGTATGGTCTTGGCCACCGTGCTGCAGCTCAGTTTCAGGGTCTTGGCAATCTTCTTATAGCCTACGCCATCTTTATGTAGAGCAACAATTCTTTTTTCAGATCCTCAGAGAGTTCTTTGCCATGAAAAAAAAAAAACGCATCACAGATTCTTTAAAAATATTAATAATGGCTTAGAAAACTGTTATTTTAAATTATAATAGTATTTTAAAATATTATTGTTTTTACTGTATTTTTGATCCAATAAATTCAGCCTTCACTCTTAAAAATAAAGGTTCCAAAAGAGGGGTTTTCACAGCAATGCCATAGAAGAAAAGATCCCTTAAGTGAACAGTTCAATAAAGAATAATTTTAATAATCTAAAGGACCTTTTTCCATTAAAAGTACCTTTTATGCAATGGAGAGGTTTTATGGATGGTGAAGGTTCTTCATGGAACTATCAATGTCAACAAAGAACCTTTATTTTTAAGAGTGTTGATGAACATATGAGACTATATGTTTTATTACAACTTGCCTTTTAATAAAACGTTAACTGCAGGTAAATTCTAGAAAGTTTACTGTAACTACTTTGATTAATAGAGCACATTTAAACTATCCCTACATCACTAACTCCATTCCAATGCTGTACAGCTCAAATCTATTGTTACAGACACACACAGGCACACAAACACACAACACACAGGGCGTCATCATTAATCACTGCCATAGACTGGGGAATCTCACGCCACAATGTTACAGCCAAGACTATTCGGTCTGGAAAATTAACTACCTGTCAGACACATCCAATCAAGCAGCCATCAGAGGAACGAGAGGGCCGGACCATGAAGAGGCGGCTCATACATGTGTTTGACTGAGCAGGTCTGACAGCACAATTAACTGGGTCTTAAACTACAACTGTGTGGGTCCTCAGTGAAGGAGGGAGTTATTTATAATCAAAGGTGAAATACATCCAAGAAAAGTACTTTCAACTTTTACTTCCTCCTATTTATATTTAACACTTCATCTGCTACACTGGACATGGCTGGACTACTAATGTAGCTCCACATCAGCTGTCTGCATCACTCCTTTCGGGAGAACCTGTAATCTAAACTCACCTTTTTATGCGGTCATCAGTTTTACCTGACTGGCTCCCAACTCACTGGCTGTATTGAAAGATTCCCAGATAACACTCCTCTGTGCTCCACTCTATACAGCATCATGGTATATGGCCCAAGAATCATTGATTCCTAATACACACACATACACAACCCCACTTGAATACACACATACTGTTTTTACACAACGGTTTGGTCAATAAATTTCCGATTTT